GGGGCTTTTTGGCCCTGCTTTGCACTGAGATGACAGGTATGTAAAGATAATTATCCTGCATCTGCTATCCTGGGTTTCCCCAGGCACTGCAAAGAGCTGAGTGGTGGCCCCTTTTGGAGATCCCACATTGGACAAGACAAAGCTCATCTCTGGTCCAGCTTGACAACTTGTACGTTTCCTTTCCTCTTCCATTCTCCACCTTCCACAAAACACAACCAACTTTTGTGGTTTAACATCTCCTCCCTTCTGCCAGCACCAAAGGGCAGTGGTGACCTTATCCTCCACTTCTGCTTATCCATCACCTCCCTGCTGCTCACCTTGTCCTCCACCATCTCCAGCTCACTTTTTCCTCCACCATTTTCAGCTCGCTGTGTTCACCAGCATCTCCAACATGCTAATATCTGAGGGCTCTTTCTCTCCTTTCTTTCTTCTCCTGCCTTTCCTTCCCCTGGAGCTTTGCCTTCAGCTTCCTCTCCAAGATTGGCTGAAGGGGACTTTCTCTCCTTGACTCCTGCCATCCTGCTCCTTCCCAGTCCCTTCCCCAGTGGCCACTTGCCCTCTCTCTGCTCTGGGGCTTGACCCCTCCTGTTTTTGGGAGCAGGGAACTTGCTGTGCAGGTACAAAGCGCTGCTTCAGCTTGCAAGAGGAGATGAATGGTTTGTTCATAACGAGCCTAATGAGGCTGTATTTAAGGCAGCCCAGCTTGAAGGGGACTTTCTCTCCTTGACTCCTGCCATCCTGCTCCTTCCCAGTCCCTTCCCCAGTGGCCACTTGCCCTCTCTCTGCTCTGGGGCTTGACCCCTCCTGTTTTTGGGAGCAGGGAACTTGCTGTGCAGGTACAAAGCGCTGCTTCAGCTTGCAAGAGGAGATGAATGGTTTGTTCATAACGAGCCTAATGAGGCTGTATTTAAGGCAGCCCAGCTTTTAGCATGCAGCCCACAGCTGGTTGTCTGCAAACCCATTCCCATGCAGAGTCCTGCGTCCCTACACATAAGGAGCTCTGGAGGGGATCCTTGGATTTATTTGCTCTGTGGGCTGGCCAAGAGCTCTCCAGCCCACGTTCTTCCACCACACTGGCCCGGGTGTCACAGGACTGTCGCTTCTGCATTTCACCCACCTCCATAAACCCTTGCTCCTCCCAAAAAGCAGGCTGAGAACCTGCTTTAGAGGTTGAGTGCCACAGCCTCTCTACTTCTTGGGGTTAATAAATAGCTACAGATTTGTGCTAGTCAGCTTCCACTCAAAGTGGGGAAGGTCAACACATGGCAAGAGGGGAAGGTAAACAGCTGTGCCTGGAGCCACATGCTAAGGGCCAGGCAGAGAGAGGGTAGGAGAGCTCAGCTCTTCTGGAGTGCTATCACACCCCAAATTTCAGTGCCCTCGAGAGGCAGGAAAACTCTGTGAGCAACCCTGTGTGCTGCTGTTGGGGTTTAAAAAGCCGGCAGGGCTTCTTGCCATCTCTGTCTCTGTTCAACACAATGCGGCATCCGTACCGCGGCTGGTCTCAGATCCCAGCTCCTCTGATCTACCACCTCGTGGTGTAATGGGTACTGAGAGGGACTTGGCTTACCCTGGTGGTCTCCAGAGACAGACCTCCTAACAACTGAAGTGAGATCTCTTGCCACCAGGTGCTGATGCATCATTTGTTATTGCTTGGAGCTGTGAAAGAGGAGAGGAGGGAGCTGCAGGATATCAGGCCAGAGCATTTGCTCCTGATGAAAACCAACTGACTACAAAGAGTTGCCATTGGAGTGACCCTCCCTTCTGTGCTGGGCTAGGGTTAAGGTTATTTTAGTGTTTCTCACTTCCCTGGTCCTGCTGTTTATCTCTTCTTTCCCAGCACCACTGCATGCTTACATATGAGCGTTTTGCCTTCAATCTGGGAGGCTGACCTTGAGAATCTTGAGATGCTAGAAATATCCCCTGGAGGGATATGTGAGTTGGTGTGACTCTGTTGCAGCTCAGCAAGCTGTATCTGCTGAGGATCTGGCCCACTAGGGGTGTAAATAAGGATGAGGCGTGCTGTCACTGTTCTTCAGAGTGCCCAGCTGGTGTGTCTGTCACCGAGTACTTGGCTTGGATGTCACAGTCCTTGCCCTCACCTGACTTAATGTATTTATTTGAGTAACAGCATAAGTTCTTTGGTGCTGGGGTGGGTTTTTGGAATGTTTTAGTAAATGGTGGTCACTGTGAAATAGAACTGCCCTGCAGAAAGAAATCCAGAAGGCTGCAGCTCAGGTGCAGGCAGACACAAAGATACTGTTTCCCCAGCTGTGGCCAAAACCAGTAAAAGTGACAATAAGGAAGAAGACGGCTTTATGGTAATATTCAAGTGTACTTAACCATACATCTGACTTCTAGTGTGGGCACTGTGCTTCTGAAACTGGTGAAAATACTAGGATATGCCAAGGTCCATAATGAAACTTCTCATGGACTTGGGGCATGAAGGAGCTACTGCTTTATTAACAGTATGAATGTGGCAAAAGCAGGTGATGTTTATGGCAGAGTACTGAAAATGATATTTCTGATAAAGAAAATGATGATTTTTTAGGTTGCTAGCCGTTTCAGTTATTTAAAGAAAATGGGAAAACTGTAACCTGGAAACAGTTTAATGCCACCAGCACCCTGATGGCCCTTCGGCCAGGAAACCTGTGCTCCACTGGCCAAGGGTTCTGCCATCAGAGGTCCCAGAACGGGCTCAGGGAGGGAAAGGTGCTTCTCCCTTCCTTTCACTCCCAGAGCACCTTACTTGGTCTCTGCAGAGCACATACACCCTAGAAAGGCTGGAACTTCAATTATCTGCTACTACATTGTCTTTGCATTGAATTCCAGAGGAATGAGAGAAGTCTGTTTAAGGCAACATCTGTCCCCAGGGCGTTCCTTGCCAGTGCTTTCTCTGATCTTCTGGGGAAAAACCTGATGGACTGTTAAAGAGATGGAAACAACAGGCTTCTGGAAAAATGACCCTAACATCCAGCCTGGCTGGGGAGTTGTGAAGATCTCTGCAGTAGATATGAGTGAGGAAAGGTCCGATCTTTTTCAACATTCCAGTAGTCTTCCTGAGAACAGATCTGCTGCTGCTGTCCCAGCATTCCCATTGCCTCCCACCACCCATCCCAGCAGCAGCCCATGAGGGCATTCGCCATCCCTTCAGCCACTTGCTAGCTCTGTCCTGTGCCTCTGAGGAACATCTTGTTTTGATTTCACTCCTACCACAGAGTCACAGCCACTGGGGAGATCGAAGACCAGGGCAGAATTATTTCTACCTGCTCTGCTCTGAGTCTGTTTGGGTACCACCATTACATCTGATCAGCTACTGCTTCTGCAGTACAAAACCCAAGGCTGGTTTTTGACAGCCACCTTCTATTTTCCTCTCCCTGATATGGACGTATTTGCCCATTTGCTTTCCCTCAGCACCACTTCTATTTTTTCACACTGGAGTTTATGTCCTCTAGACCTTTGCAGCTGGATGCTGAGCCCCCAGCTTTGCCTCAGCATCAGGCTCTGGTCCTGGCCCCAGGTTACTTTGGGCTTTGTCCTCCCTTCCACTTCATATCAAGGATAGTGAAGGATCCAGTCTTTAAAGGCCTTGTAGGTGGCAGACCCTACTCTGTCCTGTCCTGTGGGGATGGGTCAGCCCAGTCTTCAGGCTGTTCTGCCCCCACTGCTGGCTGCAGGGGAGGGACTACATCTACCCAGATCCCACTTCCCATGATGTGAAACCCTTTCCTAGCCCACTGTGACTGCGCCTCTTGCATGGAAATGATGCTCATCATTAGAGGCAAATTCAGATCAGCAACAACACACACACACAAAAAAGGAAGACAGTTTCTTCCCTTGCTGGCTAAATGAGTGGGGGTGTTAAGGGACTCCCTGCTCCCCAGCTGTGTTAGGCTGCCACTGCCTGGATTTGCCCTTGGATCAGTCCTGCTTTTGGTGATGCTCAGCCCTGGCATGATTTAAGCTATTGAATGCCTTGCCCAGGCAACATGGGTGGCAGATGGGTGTTCATTGCCCATCTTGGGGAAGGGGAAACTGAGGCAGACACCACAGTGCCAGTGCTGGGCGAGCCCAGGGCCTGGATCCACAGACTCGACCCTGAGCCTTTCTGCTGGAGGCCCTGGTGGGCTCGGGAGCAGCCTCCTTGCAGTGCTGGGCACTCACAGTCCAGCTCATGGGAGCTGGATGGGGTTAATTGATCTGCTTGTGTGATGAAGCCCATCTGTGCACTGGCCTTCTAAACACTGCCTGCCAAAACAAATCATCTAGCTTCCCTCCTGGGCCACCCAGCTGCCCCAGGCTCTCTGCACATCCACTCAGCTAGTTTTGAGGCTGGCAGGCAGGGAGGGAGAGGGCAGCCCAGGCTCCTCTCTCCTGGTGGCTGCCAAGGGGCTGCCTTTTAGCTGAGCATCATCCCTGCTGGGCTGTTCTCCCTTGCAGCTACTGGGAGTCCCATCCCCTTTACTGGTTGTGCTCCACGCCTTTGCCCTCTCCATCAACACAGCTCTACTTCCCCCCAGTCCCAACACAGTGCAAAACCCCCCTTGCACTCCTTCCTCCTCAGCTCCTCAGGGCTCATTCCCACAATGCTGGCAGGTCTCTGGGGCTTCCCTTGGGATTTATAGGGTCTGAGATGGAGGAGTTGGCCACCAGCTCTTGTGTTATAATTAGGAAGAGGGCAAGAAGGAAATAGGCAGGATTGCCCAGCACCTCGGTAGCTTCTTCCCCCCACAACTCGCCAGGCACCACCTGATCCTGGCCAGCTGCTTCTTACTGCTTCTGCCCGACTATCCGACGCTGCCGGAGCCTCCAGAGGTACCAGAGCAAGTCAAAGCTCCTCATCCCCACCCGGAGCAACATCCCCAGATCCAAACCACACCTCAGCTCTCCCCATCGCCGGTGAGCGCAGCTTCTCTTTTGGGTGGCAAAGATGTGATTTCCCCCAGGCACAGCCCCCGGCCCCCCACCCCTGCCTCGCCCCCTGCGCGCTCAGTACTCACTTTCAGGGAATAGGCCAAGGCGATGAAGCCCAGGCAGCAGAAGTTGAGGTATACGAAGTTGAAAATGGACCAGAGGTAGTAGTCATTCACCTCGGTGGTGTCGGGGTAGATTTCTATGACCGTGGTGGGGTTGGTCATGGTCTTCTTCTCCACGGAGTGCTTGCACGGGACGGCTGGCTGCAGGCTGTCCCCTTTGCAGCTCTTGCTCTCCATGAGATAGACGGCGGAGGAAGGGGACAGGACGGGCGAGGCTTGCCCGAGGGCTGGGGGCTTGGCGAGGCAGGTGAAGCAGCCCTGCGGGGGACCCTGCGGGGCTCTCGGGGTCCAGGCCACCCCCTCGAAGGGGCACGGTGGGCCCAAGGGGGGGTCCTGTGTCCTCTCCGTGGTGG